TCCTTATCCCAACAGCTTGATGTGAACAGTTGAACATATCTTCTTGCCCACAGTTTTCAGATGACAAAATTATAACAAGATATCAAAAATGTTCTTCTACACTGGATTTTCAATTACTTTTATTGATGCGTTAAATATCCGAACAAAAGTTCAAGAATCTATTAAATCTATTAGACAAAAAATGAAAGTTCAAGGACTGACTTGTTATTCAAAATTTTGACTTTAATCAACAATCTTGAGACATTCAATCCAGTAAAACCTTGTGTGGCACAGGATAAAAACAATAAATAACAGCAAATGAAAGTTAAAAGTTGTCATAACTAGAAGAACTCGATTTGGCTAATCGTCGAATAAATTCGAGGAAGGCTAAACAAAATATCATGTTGGAAGGAAACAAAAAGAAGAACAATCTATATGTTAGCAAAGTCTTGTCCTTTAGGTACAAACTCAAGGCTCAAAAGATATTGCAGAATAGATGCAAAAGCAAAGTAGCCCAATTGGGTCTCATACAGGAACCACAGAATTGTAGTGCTCCCCAAGTCCAAAGGCATGCTTATGGTACGACAGCCTCTTCACTAAGCCCTCTGATTTGTATTCCTTCCCCATTTCCACTTCTGGGAAGGATCCTGAAAATATCATGATATGTTTTTTAAGGCAATGGGTCAAAGCTCCGAGCTCCAGCTGCCCTCCCCACGCTGCTGTTGACTCGACTTCCTTGCAGTAATTTTCAAATCATCGGTGTTGCCATCTATGGTGTTGTCTGAGAGAAAAAATGGCATGTAATTAGGTGAATGGTCTCTATTAATATTCATGGAGTTCCATCTCAAAATCAATTGGCAATGAGAGGAGTAGCCAATGTTTATTATAAATCATTGTAAGGTCTCTTCTCTTTTCAATGTGAGATCCTTTACATGCCCCTTCAAGATCGTGACTCTTTTAGCTCATCGATCTTGGCCGAATCCCATTTTTGGATCGGTTGCTCGTTTAAGCGTTTTGGATTCTGATACCATATTAATATTCATGAGGTTCCATCTCAAAACCAATTGGGAATGAGAGGAGTAGCCCATATTTATTATAAATCATCGTAAGGTCCTTTCTTTTTTCAACGTGGGATCCTTAACAGTCTCTCATATAAACTGCCATCATCTTGCGAAGTTCTTGGAATGTGTATGGAGGCGAACCACCGGAAAGGAAGGTGAGCTGGTTTTCGACTGCTCGATAGAGGCAATGCCCATCTGGCTTGATTTCGTGAACAGTCAAACCAAGAGGTCCAAGCTTCTTTTCCAACTGCTCATTCTCAACCATTCTATTACTCACAATGTTGCTCTGCTCCTCTTCGATTCTTCTGTCTCTTTCCGCTTCTTGTTGAGCCCTCTTCTCCCTCCTCTTCGTGCTTTTGCTGGGCTTTGAATGGTCAGATTGAGCTGTCATCGACACTCCAGCTATGGCCTTCACTAGATTGTCAAGGTTATTTTTTTCATTTCCATTACTGTTGCTGTTCTTGTTACTATAGCCTAACGACGCAAGTTCTTCAGTGTGTTTCTTTTTTAGCTTAGCAAAAAGTTGAGATATCTCTTCCTCCACCTGTTTCTTCTTCACTCCTTGTTTAGCTTTGCTACCTCTAGCTGCTGTCTTTTTAAGTTCAATTTCTTTGTCCTGCAACTGTGATATCTCTTTCCTGCATGCAGATAATGTCATTGCAAAATAATAAGAACAACAACAAACATAAACAAATAAAAATTCTATGAGGACTGCAGAAATGCAAAATGCAAAGGTTAACAATACCCTCCATGCAGTTGAAGTCGAAGCGTAAGAAATGGAACGATATGCAGAAGTAAACAATATCACCGACCGGAGAAAAGACCACAATAATGATAAAGCCCTTGTCAAGGATCCCACATTGAAAAGAAAAGAGATCTACAATAGTTTATAATAGATATGAGCTACTCTTCTCTTATTACCAATTGGCTTTGAGATGGAACCGCGTGCAGAGTCAAAACGCTCAAATGAGCAATCGGTCCAAAAATGGAATCCGTCCGAGATCGCATGCTCATATTGAAGTACTTATAATCATGCAAACATACTATAAGCTCTGTTTCTATGGATTGAGCAATCGTAGTGAAATGTTTTGAGTGTATCTACTGCCCCCGATAACTTAAAGATAGTAAAAATCTGGTGAGGATTTTAACTTATAAGACTATGAAAATCAAACTAAAGAAATGGGAATCCAATATGGACCGGATATTGAGATGTTTTTCCTCTATTACTCTTGATGTCTTAGAGATTGTACAGATCTCGTGAATATTTTAAGACTGTGAAAATCAACTTCTCAATGTATTAAATAGCTTATTAGCCTAAGAGTTGGGTGCAAAAATACTCCAATGAATGAATTCTCACCACAATTAATCAGTAGGAATTTCACGTCTTAAGCTACTCCTAAATGTGGAAATTGAGACCTTATGAGAAGGGGGAAAAAACAATTGTTATTTGTTTATGGCTTTTTTTCCATGCAGCGTAAGAATTAAAGATTGATGAACAGCTGCTTCAATGTCATGAATATTTCCCTCAACGGCTTCAATAAAGCAAATTGGATCAGAAATACCAACGAGGAACTGTTTAAATTTTGAAATTATTGTGAACTCTCAAGTCTAACAAATTATACGCATACGTAAAATATTTCTTCTAGTAACTATGTTAGTCTAGTTGGAGTCCCGTTGAATCTGTTATGTCACATAGTTGATTAGAGCTAAAGTTTATCACCACCTCCTTCATTCCATCTTTGATTTTGCCACATTGGAGGCTATTCATTATGGTTCTTTGATTTTGCCACATTGGAGGAGGCTATACGATTGTGGTTCACTCTGGTTAGAAGAAGACAAAAAAGAGTTTTAAATCTATATATAACCTTGCTGGTGGTGGCGGCGGTGCTTCTCCCTCACATAAATAACCATTCTTGATGAGGTGTGATGATCTCTGTTCCACTTCCATTGCGACTCGAAGAAATCTCTCTCATAGACAGCTATGACAAGAAACTAAGAAGATGAAGAACAGATTGGAAGATGCAGTGGGCGACAACAAATATGTACAGTAAACAAATGCAAGTGAGATGACAAGCAGCTTCGAACTTCCTAAACCAGTTCTTCTTTCATCATTTAGGGTTTTAATGAAATGGGGTGGGCTAGGCCCTTTTTCATGGGAAGTTATGTTTTTTTCCTTTTCTCAAGCGTGTCTGGAAGAGTGTCACGAACATAACCCAAAGTGTCCAAAAATAAAAATTAATTAAAAAATTGGACACTCAATTTCAACGTGTTGGATACTTGTCCATTGAGTGTACGTGTCGGACTTGTGTCCATGTGTCCATGCTTCACAGCTCAATATGGGATCAGAGTAATAACCATTTCACTCATCAGATTCTACATTATTGAAGGGTTCCACTTTGTCTTCACCGAGTGGACAACACTGCCATTGATAAGAAACAGAGATAATGAATTCCATAACAAAAGAGCCAAAAAGGCAAGAACAACCTATTGGTGGAGGGTAAAGGGAACCCTTTCCACTAAGAAGCTGTATGCTTTATATTCACAACAAAAAGAATCTAAAGGGACTGATTTGTCCTAAAAAAGTCTACTATTTCTCTCTTTCCAAAGGAGCCAAAGGAGAGCCTTCACCGCATAATTCCAAAGGACCGAAACTTTTCCTTTGATATCTGAACCTCCACAATATTTTGCTATAAAATCGTCTATCTTTCTGGGGGACAAAAGCTAAAGCCCATAAGAGACGACACATAGTTCCATGCCCGTGTAGCAAAGGAGCAATGAAGAAATATATGATCCACCGATTCTGAATCCTTTAACCACAAACCACAAACAAAAGGAGAGAGAGCCTAATGTGGGAGCTTTCTTTGGATTTTCTCAGCCATGTTTGTACCCCGATAGAAAAGAGTCCAAAAAGAAGAATTTCACCTTTTTCGGGACCCTGAAATTCCACTTAATGGAAGCTATAGCCGTGTTCAATTTAGGGAGGCGGATTTCACTGTAAATATACCCTTGCTATCGACTTTCCACCATAAACTATCCCTGCCTTGACCAAGAACCACTGCATCAAGTTTTTCGGTAAAGGTTTCCCATCTGTCAAGCTCCCTATCAAAAAGGTTCCTTCTCAACCCTATGGCTATGTCCCAAGTTGAAGCCTCGAGAACCCAACAAGCTGCCACATATTGAAACTTTTTGGAGGAAAGGATATACAAATCAGGGAAAGAAGTGGACAGGGGAGATGAAGGGCACTTTGAAAAATGAGAGCTTAGTGAAGGCTGAGAAAGTGTCTTAGATGTCTATCCACGATCTGCTGTTGCGTCCACACAACCGTGCTGACAATACGTGCAAGTATATAAAAAATGTCGATTGTAGTACGAAACGAGGTCGAATCCATAGGGACTTTGGATGATATTTTAAATAGCGTTAACAGATACCAAAAGCGTAAAATAAAAAAGTATAGAAGTTGTTTCGTGACTTGAACAAGTAAACATAAAATAAACAAAGCAGTAAACAAAACACAGTAGCAGACACACTTCGTAAAGCTGATAACAAGCAGAAGAACCAGCACAGAATATGAAAACGGGGAGAATACAGATATGGAAAAGTGGGGGAGATTCACATGCATTCACAAACCTATCAACATCTCTCTAACTAACAAACATCTGTTAATGTCCAACTCAACTTGGTTCCCTTCCGAGACACCCGAACATGAAAACCCACAACTCCCGTTGCTAAGTTTCCAAGCAGTAAAAACAAGCTCTAGGCAAGATTAGGGGACCCCATTCCTGAGAATCCACAAAATACTATAGAAAAGTACTAATCTCAAATGAAGCAAGTCAACACCCATAAGCCCTCCCAGGTCAATATAGAAGCAAGCAAACAGAACAAATTGGCCAACAATGCTCAATAAGATATCAGAAATTAATACAGCTTCATTTAAAAATGAATATAGCAGTTAGAGGTTCAGTTTACAGTAGTTACAGCATGGAAAACTCCCTCGAAATGGGGTTTAGCTCATAAATGAAGAAGAAAATAAAATGGGTAAAAGAAGGAGACAACTCATCTTAGGGAATAGAAGAAAAACTGAAGAAGAAGAAGATAACAGTTCGAAATTGCAGTAGAATCTCCCCTCTGTCGTCAGCTTTCTGCCCCCCGAAAAATGGAGAGAATCCTTCTCCTTGTCGTTTCAGCTCTAAAAAATGTGCTTCCCTCCGGATCTCTCTATGGCGACTAGGGCAACATTCCACTTTTATATCGGGTTCCAAATTTCGGGCACCCAGCTGAAAATTGTACCGACACGACAAATCCCGTGTCTGGGCTGTTACTACGCAGCGAATCCATGCTCCAGTTCTGCTTCGCTCCAACATTTATCTGTTCTATCTCGAAATTATCCTGCCCACTATTCTCTAGATTTTTGCATTTCTTTTATGCTTAGTCTTTTGCATCCAAACCTGTGCATTTACAATAGAAATACGAGCATTTAGTGCAATATTTAGCTACAGCATTCAAGACCTGGGGCTTTTAGCTCGGATTCCATTTTATACTCTTTTTCTATGCTAATTGCGCACCAAAACCGACACACTTTGACAATTCCTTGTATAAAACTACCCAAATAAACACTAGAATAACTCTCTTTTAGAGAGTTATCACGCCTCCAAACTTAAAATCTTGCTTGTCCTAAAGCAAGAGCATGCATTTTACCTTTGTTCATAAAAGAAGAAGTTAGAAACCTGCACTTCAAGCATCCAACTCTATGTCTCACCCTTTCATTTTGATAAAAAAATGTTAGAACTTACATACTCTACTATAGTGCTTCAGTTGGAGCAAAGAAATGAAAGAAACCTAAGTTTGTTCACACTCTAGCTTCAGTTGGAAAACATTATTTTCTGCCCAACTCTAGCTTCCTTCTACTTCTCAACCTCAAGCTTAACTTCTCCTAGGGATTCCTTTCTCAAGCCCCTTTCGCTAGCCTAAACCTTTAAACCTTGTACTACCCACTTGGGTTTCTTAACCATGGGCTACTAGCCCTTCCTAATCCTGTAGCATCTTTATGCTCTGGATGTGGGCTACTAGCCCCTCCTTTATTGAGTTTTTTTTTTTTGGACTGAATTACAGGATTAGAAAGATTCATGGTTCTATATAATTGCTAATAAAGATGTAAGAACTGAACATTCA